GCCCACGAGCATTTTCTCACGGCTGAAAGTGTGTTAAGAAGCCAGAACCAGGCCAAATTCCTTCCCTCGCTGTGGATGCTGCTGCCTTCCCAGCAGCTTCCCTGTCCCCTGCTCCAGGCCAGGGTGTGCAGGGCTGGAGAAGAAGCCCAGGTCCCTGGGAAAGGTAGGCTCTGCCCTAGAGAAGGAGCTAGGAGCCCGGGTGTGAGGAGGTGCTAGGCCGAGTCCAAAGAGGCCGGTGAAGTGGCCACACAGGAATGAAGACCCCGAATGCAGCAGGAGCAAGGGCCGGGGGGATAGGACAGGCGATCCTGAGGCCGGGAAAGAAGCAGCGTGCGGGTTTGTGCTGCTGACCCGCTGGGGAGTGTCCGTGACGGAGCAGGTCTTTCCACTTTGGGGAGGAGAAAGTGTCTGGTCTCTGAACATGACCTCATCCCAGGCCCAGACTCTCCACTGTCTCCTTACCACCCAGGCCCCACCCTGGTCCAGTCCCCACACACCCACCAAGGCTTGCTGCTGAAGTTTAGGAAATGCTTCATATTCTCCTGCCCCTTGGTGTGTCCAAATGCAGCTGTTCTGCTAAAGGAACTAGATAGGCTGCTGGAAGAGTGGATTTCTCTTTCACAGTGTGTAATTTACCAAATGCATTTGTTCACGTTTTCTGTAATGAACCACAAGCACCATTTCAGCAGCCCTCCCTGGGGACTGCTTTACCACCCCAGAGGGGGTGATCTGTGGTGTGCAGCCTTCACTGGGCTGAGTGTGCTCCTGGTGCACTGGGAGCAAAGACTCTAGCACCAGGCTTGAGAGGTGAGTTGAAAGTTAAGATTTGACCTGGTCTATAAATATCTGCTTTGGTTCATCCAATTAGAGGCCATTGGCTGGAGATGTCTTGGTGGCAGAGCACTTGCCTAGCAGGCATCATGTCCTGGGTCAATCCCCTGTACCACCCAAACCAAGCAACAGCACAAACAAAACAAGCCATCAGACCCTACAGTGACCGAAATCCCGGAACCTGCGATGTAGGAAGCAGAACCACCTTTAGCCTTGGAGATGTGGCCTCCGCTAATTCCACCTTAAGATTCAAACTGTGTGTCGTGTGGACTGTGTGTTCTGGGGGAGGTTGTTTCATTCTGCCGCTGACTGTCTGGGAGGTGGAAAGCCATCCTGGTCCTCATTGGGCAAGGCCACTTTCTGAACAGCTCCTGTGACATTTGAAACGGTTCTGATGTTCAAGTGAAGACTCATGAGCCGTGAACTCAGAGAGAGAATAAGAGACCTCTGCCTGACCAGGGGAGATCACCCCACAGCCTGCTAGGCAGGTCCCTCCCGTGAAGGAGCTCCGTGTCTGGGCCCCGAGCGCCCTGCCAAGCTCCCCAGGGGAGAGCAGGTGGGTCCTGGGGGCCTGGCTGGGCTGCCCAGGGAGGTCAAGGAGCACAGTCCCACAACTCCATGCCTTCCTCGGTCCCTCTCACTAGTGGCCACCCTCTGCTGTGTCCACAGAGTGCCTCAGAGGCTTATTTTGGCAAGGAGAGTGGAAGTGGAGGGAGGGTCTAGTTTGGGCACCTGGGTCAGCACAGTGTGCTGAAGAAATGAGGGTCCCGGGCCAGGCCTGGCTGTGGGCATGCCAGGTGCAGGGATTCTGTGTCCTCAGTCCACACAGGGGTCTAAGGATCCAGGATCTAGACCTCAGGTGCAGGACAGGGCATCTCTAGCAATGTCACCACACGTGGGGAAGAGGCTGGAGTTTGGAACAACACCCAGACGGTCAGCCCTGCCTGAACCAGCTGAAGCATGCCGGGTGCAGCCGGAACTCCCAGAGGGGGATGGCATCCTCCTCGCTCCTGTGACCTCCCTTCCTGGCCACATTCCCTTAGGGGGGACAGCTCAAGAGACCCCGGAGGAAAGTTGCTCAAAAATTCTTAATATTTCAAATCCCTACTTTGTTATTCACAAAAACTGCACTCTGTAGATAACTTCAGTTGGATCCAAATTCCAATTTGAAACCCACATAAAATGCACTCTCAAGAATACATAATTAGACAATGTTTATAATGGCAGCCCGGTGCTTAGAGTGTTGAATACAGGTTAATCTTGGATAGATTTGAAACACCACCTGTTCACTTCTGTTAAAAAATACATTATAATTGTAATTTCTGTTTCACTGAAGTGCTTAATCCTCGGGCATTTAGTACCATCCTCTGAATGTTCAGTTGGTTTCAGAACGGCTCCCGTCAGTCGGGGAGCCAGTGTGTCCCTCTGGGGTGTGGACAGACCTCAGCTCACAGCCACCTCCCTGCCGAGGAGCATGGCTGGGTGGCGGCACCACATTCCACTCAGGACAGGGGGTCCATTCAGCCCCGTGAGGAAGGACTTTCCCAGGAGGTAGAGCTGAATGAAGCCTGTTAGCACCTGGGTTCGTGAGGGACAGCGGTGACTGACCCCTGGGAACACGTTCTAGCTTCTCGGGGATGGGAGGTCTGTGGCGATCCCACCTGCCACTCGCTTGCTTCAGTGTCCCCTGGAGCGAGGTGGGAAGGGAATCAGAACAAGAGACAGATGCTCACAGTGGGCTTTTGGACACTGCCTCGTCCACAGGGCCATGGCTTCTTGGAACAGGTGATGGTGGCTACAGGTTCTTGGAAGATGCTTAGCTCACCCTCTGTCACTAGATCTAGAGACATGGGGTCGTCTCGAGCACTGAGAACGATAGCGTTGGAGGTAGTGGGTCCCAGGGGGCCTCGCCCCGGGCCGTCCTGCCCTGGGGGATGTCGGTCAACATCTGAAGATGTTCTGTGCACCCCTCTGTCTCCAGGTGGAGGCCCAGGGCAGCTGCCCGGCATCCCGTGCAGGGACAGTCCCTGAGGAAGAATGAGCACCAGTGTCTGGGAGCCAGCAGGATGGGCTTAGCCCCTTGTGAGCCTCTGCCTCTGTTCCTGCGGAAGGGCCCTCATCCCAGGGGCTGCAGAGCACTGAGAGGGCACAGGGCGTGCTCCTGGCTGCCCACGCCTCCTCTCTTCTGTCTTCCTGAACCTCACCCAGGTCCTCCCTCTCTGCCTTCACACTGAGCCTCCGCGGTTCAGGTCCTGGTTGGGCCTCTTTGGACTAGAGCCTTGTCCAGAGAAGCTCTGGGGCTTTCCTCCAGTGCCCCCAGGTAACCCCCAAAGGTGCAAATCAGATGGGGTCACTCTCCTTCCCTCCAAGTGAGGAGGACATCTGGGTGGCAGGGAGACCACAGGCGCCTGCTGTGGCTTCCACTGTGGCTGGCCATTCACAGCGGGCTTCCCGTGGGGGCCCACCCCACAGGCTGGCTCATGGGATTTGCAGGGAGGTCACTGCTGGGAAGTGCCTGGCACAAAACTATTCCCATTCACTCGTGAAGTTGTGCCAGTGAGGGTCAGAGACAGGGAGAGCGTGGAGCACGAGGCCAGCAAGACCCAAGTTCTCAGAGGCAGCACCCAGGTGGCCAATGGAGGAGGCAGCCATCTCCACTGTGGTTCTGCTCCACGTCTCCACTGCGGCCAGGTGCAGGACCCCCAACTCAGGTCCAGAGTGGCCCCTGAGACGACCCCAAGAGAGGGGGGTGGGAGGCCCCAGCATGCTCAAAGCTCACTGACTTCTTTTCCCAGAGGCTGCAGATGCCGAGCTGCAGAGAAAGGAATCGGAATTCAGCAGAGCGGGAGGCGTGGAGGTAGACTGAGGTGCTATCTGTGCAGGTCAGCCCGGCAGCAACAGGATTAGAGAGTTTCCTGGGAAAGCGAAATCGTAATTTTAGGTCCCTCAAATGAAGCAAGTTATCTATAAATGGGAAAATCCCTTAAAGTGGAATATTCTATAATAACATATTTTTTAAATTTCTAAAGGTAGTCATTTTATAGAGAGTTTATCTTGAATTCAGGTTAAATGTGTATCCCAAGGTTAATTCACTCTGGGAAGAGGTTGGACTAGGGAGTCAAATGTGGCAAGAGCAAAGGAACTGGGGAGGGACAGTGTTCCCAGGGACACTACCTCAGGTGTGGGACGGCATGGCTACTCTGGATCCAGATCTGCCTGCAGCTGCAGGACAGGGAAGCGTTCCCTTTTGCAAAGGTCTGAGTGTCGTGCCCAGATCCATTTTATAACCTAAAATGTCCGAATCAGTTTGACTCACATCTGATCTTACAGAAACCGAAGTAGCTCTCCGAGTCAGGTGGGGAGTTGTTTACTCAAAGACCAGCGGCCTGTCCCAGGGGTGGAGCATGTGGAGCATGCAGCTGCTTTCCCAGCTCTGAGCTGCCCAGTTGCTGTCCTCACAGGGTCCCCGCAGTCCAAGGAAAGGGATGACCGTCGGGTTGGACATTCTAGAGAGCTGCTCAGTGCTTGAGTGAACTGACACATGAAGGTCCCTGGCTTTGCCCATGTTTCCCGACCACCTGCTAAGTGACAAGCACCGTGTCAGTGCTGAGGGCACAGTGATGGACAGAACACCCGGCCTGCAGGGAGGGGGCCCAGATGTTAACGCAGAAAAGGAGCCCATTGTGCGGCATGTGGGGAGGTGACAAGGACGGTGTGTGTGTGTGTGTGTGTGTGTGTGTGTGTGTGTGTGTGTGTAGAGAACTGGGAAGGTGTGGTTAGCATTTTGAACATTAAGAT